AGTCCTCTCACCGCCCCTAAACCTCTGGCCTGTACCCCAGTTCTGTATGCATAAATAAATAAATCTTTAAAAAGAAAAAAAAGAAAGAAAAAACTCAAAAAAAAAAGTCCACTACTCTTTTTTTCTGCTTAAATCATGATCTCAACCACAAAGACATGTGAGCTAGAGTTCCCACTACCTGGAAATACTATAAACAGCTGCACCTACAGAAAAGAAGCTTGGGTTTCTCCTTGGTGCTGATCCTCTCTTTATCTCTGTACAAAGATCTCTGTCTTAGTCATGAAATAGAAGGAAAATCTACCTGTTGACCCTGGCAAATCTCTGAACTAAGGACCTGAACCAATGATCGATTCAAATTGAGATGTCAATGTTCTGTTTAATAGTAAAGAAGACTGGTTTCAAGGTAGTCAGGGTGTGGCTCTTCATAGACAATAGGATGTTAACCTAGGCGCTTGCATCCTCTGGCCGGAGTAGGGGAGGTGAGCATGCTATGTGATACTCTCACAGCAGTGACAAGTCCCCACAATGGGACAGATGGCCCCTGGGGAGGGCATGGCCCATGAGCTCAGGAGCACTGCTCTATGACTGCCAGTTGAACTCTTTTCTGCCTGTAATTCATCCATGCTTTTCTTAGACTCTGAGAAGGAGTTAAATGTCAACAGCCTGTGATCGTTGTATTTGGGCATTTACAGGAGAGGATGTGTCTGTACTTGGACCAAAGTTTCCATGTGCGCAGGGGCAAAGGGGTGACAGACAGAGCAGCCTGGGCAGCACCAGGCAAGAAGAGACAGAGGTCAATCAGCATGGCCATGATGCAGCCAGCAAGACGAGGAATCCTCAGAATCTTTAAGAGAAGGGCCCACCAGAGTCTCCAACATTATTTTATTATGGTAACATTGTTCTTATACATAAATCATAATGCTATTATGAATACAAGTATATATTGTTATTATTTTGCAATATTTATGACATGTGTGCATATTTTATGGCTGTGTTGTTAATATACTATTATAGGGTTGTAACAATAATTTTTATTATCCCCTGTCTAGCAGTGTAGGTAGACTTCTCTCCTCAGACAGCTTCATTTTCAAATCTAAAGCAAATTGCTATAATGGATTTTGTAAGAAAAGCATCTACAATAAAGATAAGTAAACTCTGAGGGAGGGCTTGGAAGCATTTTCTTAGTTAAAAAAAAAAAAAAGTACAAGATCTTTAAGCGCAGACCAAAAAATATCTTATTTCACTTGCTCAGGATTTTTAACAACTTTAGACTCCCCAACTGCATCCTAGATAACTGAAAGTTCCAAATGAGTGGCCATTTGGTTAATGGGACGAAACTATAGTTTCCTCACTGGTTTCTCCACAATTAAAACCCTTTCATTAATGGCAAAACAAGGCTTCAGGGTCTTGGAAATTGCTAAAAGGAAACTGGAAAGACTTAAACTGTTGTCAACTTTATTTTGCCAAGTAAGGACATTTTTAAAGTACCAAATCTTGACACTACACCACATTTAATAAAGCACTTTTTAAATGACCAAATCCTGACATTTGGCACTTTAAAATCAAATAAATATTAACACCAAAATAGTCAGAAGCAGATATTTCAGAATAAAGATGACCCTTTAAGCCAAATCAGTTTCTTGAAGATATCCAGATACTTGTCATTTTCTCATATGATCTTGAATAGGTGAGACCCTCATGCAGCCTGGCACCTAGCTTGGAGTGGCCTTTTTTTCTCAACACTAAGCCCAAGGCTTGGGGGTCTGTTAGCCTGAAATAAACCCCCAATCTATAGGGAAGGTGGACTCAAGGAGAGTTGGGGTGTGTTGTCCCCAGAAAAGAAGCCCCATGTAGAACTGGGCACGCGATCTGCCTGCTTTGTACAGAACCTGTCTCATCATCTAACTACCCCCAGAATCTCTCTTCCTGCCCTGGGGTGTTTCTGAGTTCGGAGTACTGAAAACTGCCTTTTTTAGGAGACAGGAAAATTGCAAAGGCGGGTTCATTCCATGGAGTGAATTTCCATTTTTCCTGGCCCCAGAAATGCTGTGTCTGTCAGTAATTTTCATTCTTGGGTCACAGCTCCCAGGGGAGCAAGAGAAAGGCCAATAGGAGAGAATTGTTCCTTCAGATTCTGGATTTGCTCCCTGGCTCTATAAACAGAAGGGCTGCTGTGCTCCAGCCTTCCAGATGCAATTCCTGGACGCAGGCAATTGCGCAGGTAGCTGAGCAGAGAGACATGCTCTGTGCCAGTTTCAGAGACAGGATCTGAGGCTGGTGTGGCCGTAAGGAGGAGGCTCTCTGTTAGAAAAATAACTGGGGACAGAAGACTTCACTGGTTGAGTAAACACTACTTTTACTAAATCCAGTGACCCCCAAATAACTGTGCATGACCTTCCCCTACCATTTTTATTTTCTAGCAGTTGGAAGAATTGTGGAGAACCAAAGGGGTAAAGGTGAATTCATTACTGATTTTCCGGAAGCTTTGTTTTTCTGCTGACCTGAAATAATTTCCATTCCTTTTCTTAAGTATATGGGTGTTAATTGTCAATTTGCATTTTGGTTTGATTATTCAGATCTCAAGATAGAAGCATAAGTTCTGTATTTCAAGAAAACTCAGTGAAGGAAAACTTCTGAAGCTCATTTTCTAAGGTAGGAAAGATTTGTGGAGAATAACTGTAATAGCGTTTTTCTCTAGTGGCCGCCTCAAAAACACGAGAGAGTAGCTCTCCCTTAGGTTTGGTCTGCAGTTACATCTGAGAATTCATTCCCCATCCCTGCCTCTCTATGCCATTAATTCTGAAATGGAGATTTTAATTTTGTTTGATATGCTTCCTTGAAGCCAGGCTTGACGTCAGCACCTTTTATAAGCTGGAAACTATTAATTAATCCCCTGAATTTTCATGATTAATTAAAACCCGTGTTGCGGCTCTGCTTGGGAGAATTCTTCTAGGACCTTTGACTGGAGTCTGCTGGCATTATTCACATAAATGTCTCAGGAACATCATATGCTTATGCTAAAATAAATGACGAAGGAGTGTTAGAAAGTGGCTTCCAGAGCTACCCTGGCAGGAATAGTGGTGGGGAACTCAGTGCCTGGAATGCTAATTTAGATGTGAGGCTTAATAACGTGTGTTTAGCTATGACCCTAAAATCTGCTCGCTTCCAACTTTCCCCATCTGGTGTCATTTGCCTTCTCCACTTGTAAAACTGCCCACGACACCAATAGCAACAGCAGCATCATGTATCATGTGGTAACAGTGAAGCCTCATCTGTCACACATTTCATGGAGAGAAACCTACTTATTCTGTCCTTACCCATTTCCCAATTTGTCATCACATTTTGCAGGAGTTCTACCCAGCCACTCACACCGAGCCCAACACCACTTTGGGGAAAGATGATGTAGCCATACCTTGTACCCAGGCTTCCGCCCTCTTTTCTTGGGGATCTTCACTGCTGGTAAAGAGCCAACTGATGGAGAATAAAGATTATGCACTGCCATCTTCACGGGTGTGGAGTGGAGTGGCGGTCGACCTCGCTTTCTCCCAGGAATCCTCTGAGATTGCATTTCTGCTGGTGCCAGTCTTGCAGAAGGAAGCAACAGACCGCTCACAGGCAGAAGAGGTGCTAAGGATTAGTTCAGACACAAAACAAAACAAAAATGGAAGTGTTTGTGTGGTTTGCAAAGCAAACATGGATCTGGTTGGGGGGGTTCTCTCTTTGAAGGGGAAGACCACCTGGGGGAGAGCCAGGCACTGCAAGGCGCTTTCACAGAGCTTGGGGTCCTGGCTTAATTTCAAGGAAAGCAAATTCCCTGGCACTATACTGAAGTAGGGATGAAACTGCCTAGGCAGAGATGCCCAGCTCCACACACACCGATAGTGTTACCAGCAGTGAGACAATTGTGTCTGTGTCTCAGATATACACTCACATGATAATATTAAATACCACTATTTTCTCATATTGACTTCTATATCTTTGGTCGGATTTTTTATAAATTTTCTATAAATTTTTTTTATTTTTTTTTTCCTTTTTCTTGTGGAAGAAATATACCTGCTCAAATCCATTGTATTAAAGCTAGTTGTGTCTCTCAGTCAACTGTGGACAGAGGTTTACATGCAGACATGTTGTTTTAACCTGCTGTAGAATTGCAAAAATAAGGTGGAAATAGTCCAAAGGACAAACAATAGAGGATTACTATACCAGAGAAAACAATCAGCTAGTTGAAAACTTTTAACAATATTCTTTTAATAACATGAAGTTGAGTAAAGGGGCATCACACAAATTCCATATAAGAATTATCTCAACTAGGCAAAAAAAATTTCATGGTGAAAAGTAAAAGGAAACATGATAAAATACCAAGATAATCATCAAAAACTAATGTTGCTTGTCTCTGGGCTGTGATATACAGAACTGTGTTTTTGCTTTCTTCTTTGCACCACTTTGCATTGTTTGAATATATTTTTAAATTTTATTAATGAAGTGCCATTGTTTTACATCTTTGTTAATATTTTGATAATTTGGATTCTTCCCCCTTAGATGTGCACAGAAAAGCTTTCTGGCCCCCAGAGGATCCACAGTCGTCAGCACGTGCGCTTCTCATCTTCACCCCTCCTTACCCTTCCCTTCCTGATGTCTCAGATTTATGGTCAGTTTTCAGGGATTGTTTTTAATAGTTTGTCTTTGACTCCCTTTTTTGGCTTATTTCACTTAATATAATCCCTTCCAGCTTCATTCATGTTACTGCAAATGACATGTTTATCTTTTTGATCACTGAGTAGTATTCCACTGTGTATATAAATCACATCTTCTTGATCCACTCATCGGTATGGAGGCATTTAGGTTATTTCTATATCTTGGCTAATGTAAATAGTGCTGCAATAAACACAGGAGTGCAGATTTCCTTTCAAACTAGTGTTACTTTATTGACTGGGTAGATACCTAGAAATGGAATTACTGGGTCATATAGCAGATCCACCGTGTATTCTTTTGAGGAATCTCAGCACTGCTTTCCAGAGGGGCTGGAGCAGACTACATTCCCACAAGCAGGTTAAGAGGTTTTCTTTTTCTCCACATCTTTGCCTAGTACTTGTTTCTGTCTTTTTGTTTGTTTGTTTGTTTGTCTTTTTAATATGGGTGGTGACTTGGATTTGCATTTCCTGAGGATAAGTGATGATGATTTTTTCATGTGCCTGTTGGTCATCTTTATATCTTCCTTGGAAAGTGCCTATATAACTCTCCTGTCCATTTCTGGATTGGGTTGCTTCTTTTATTTTTGCTGAGTTTAATGATATCTTTGTAGTTCTTCAATATAAGTCCCTTGTCAGATGTGTGTGATGCAAATATTTTCTCCCATTCTGTGAGGGGTCTCTTCATTTTGTTTACTGTCTTTTGCACTGCACAGAAGCTTCTCAGTTTGATAAATTCCCAGTTGTTTATATTCTCCACTGTTTTCCTTGCTGCAGGAGACAAATTCACAGAGCTATTTCTGAAGTTTATGTCATGGAATGTTTTGCCTGTGTTTTCTTCTATGTATTGTGTGGTTTCAAGTCTTACATCTATGTCTTTTATCCATTTTGAATTCATTTTCATGTATGGTGTGAAATGGTGATTTAGTTTCTTTCTTTCTTTCTTTCTTTTTTCTTTTTGCATGTGGCAATCCAATTTTCCCAGCACCATTTATTAAAAATACTTTCCTTGGGCCCTCTCTGGTGGCGCAGCGGGTTAAAGCACTGCACTGAGAAGCTAAAGCCACTTCCGCATGAGTTCGATCCCCGCCTGCCCCAGAGGAGATCCACTTGGTGCGGCAGACCTCTCCTGCCCGCCTGCTGCTCCCCTCAGCAGTGTACTTTGTCGGTCACCCTGTTCTACTCCCCGCTCTGTCTCTGGTGAAGCCTCTCACCCTCCACATCTCTGGCCTGTACCCCAGTTCTGTATGAATAAATAAATAAATCTTAAAAAAAAAATACTTTCCTTGTTCCAGTGTATATTCTTTGCTCATATATGTATGGTTTTACCTTTGGTTTCTCTATGCTATTCCATTGGTTTGTCTGTCTGTTTTGTTCAATTTCGTGTTGTTTTAATTATTAATTTTTTTGCCAATTTTAAATATTTTATTTAAGACATTGCATTTTCCACTTAGAACAACAGTGCTTATAAAGTGCAATGTTATTTTTGCTTCCTTTCCCTGTGTACATAGTATATTTTGAAACCTGGCATCATTTTTCCCTGTTTGAATTTTTTAAACATAGGTAGAAAGAACAGCAAAGTGGAAAATCAATAAATGAATAATATCATTCTCTGGAAGCTTCTATAGGAAATTAGTGCCTCTTTAAATGGCCATAATTCTTCTTGTTTTCTAATGATTTTGGCTCCTAAGCCATAGAACTTTGCTGGCCACAGCTTTAACAACCAAAAATATATATAACAAAAAGACAAAAATGACTTTATCAACAAAAATAATGCAGAAGTTTGTTTCAGAGCTGAAAAGAATGTCCATAAACTGATGATGAATGGGGGTGTTCTGCTGGGTCCCCAAGAAAGCTTCAAAAGATAGATCCTCCATTTCAGTAACCTCAAATTCTCTCCAAAGACATTCTATCCATGGAGATATAATGTGATCCAACCAAATATATAAATCACTCAAGAACTATTAAAATCCTGGAGGCATATATGATACCTCTGAATTGTTCTGTTTTCATTTGCAAACTTCAGTGAGCATATACTGCCTCATTCAGATTAGATTTGAAAACATCTTAAATCAAAGAGCTTTAGCAAATACTGAAAGATTTTGTCCCTAGAATAGCCTAATCATCAAGTCTCTAAATCTCCAAGTTATAACCTTTAAGCGGTTGTCAAATCCTGGCTTGACATATTAAATCAAATGATTTGCTGCTAGTTCCTAAGTCTTTCTCTGCTTGTCAAAACAAGGCTTAGCTAGAAATATTACACCTGAACCCAAGAAAAACTAAGGTCTGTTCTGTGAATTTAGGGATGACATTTTACTTATTAGTCTTGCAAATCTAATACATATAAACCAAGGCCCCAGCTAACGGTGTTTCATAAAGGTTAAGAGCAAGGAACTACCAAATCCAAAGCTAACACCAAGCCCAGGGGGCCAGTGAGTCGCCTGGGAATTATCCTCGGGCATGGATTCAGAGATCTTCTCATTTATTCACTTGTCTTTGTTCATTCACCCAACAAATATCTGTTGAATGTACAGTGAGGGTCAAATGTTGTGCTTCAACACTTGGATCAGATGAGAGTAAATAAGACACATCTAAGGAATTACTGACTATGGAAAAGCAGACAAGAGGCAAAGATAATATGTGTAAGAGGTTTCTTAGGAGATGCTATGAGAATGCCAAAAAGAAATCAGTTCTTTTAACAGAACTGGGAGGAGTTTGGATAGGAAAAGTGCAAGAACTTCCTTAGGCACGTGCACATTGCTGGCAATCCAGCAGGTAGGTACAGAAATGCCTGGTGGTACGCAGACTAGGTGGGGGCAGCCAGACCAGAAACAGCATCAGTGGCCATCTAAGAGCATTGAAAGGAGTTATGGAACAGGATTCTGGCCATGGTGTTATGGTCCTCTTCACTGGTGTTTCAAAAACACAGCCAGCACCCTATATGCTCTAGTTCTCAGGTACTGAGCTGAATCCACCACAAGCCAGTGTCTGGGGCCGTCCTTTGCCCTCAGTCACACACACTAATACCCTTGGCTCCGCAGGCTGCCGAGTCTGCTCATGGATAGTTTCTGTGATAAGGATGCGCCTTGGCATCATTATTCTCAAGATGACTCAGGCGCTCCTGCTCCAAAGATGAGTCCTGCTCACACCCTCATCTCTCACCTCCCTGAGCTCCTCCACCAGCCGCGCCTGCGCCGTGAGATTCAGCAGGTACAGAGCCACTGATGGCCTATGTGCTTCTCTCATTGTTTCAGTTACACCGTCGTCTGACATTCCTGGAGGTTGGGGGGAGGGGAGATGTTTCATATGTCGCACTGCTCTTCTCAGCACCTGGTGCAATATTGCACCCACAGAGTACACCTGGCACCTGCAGCAATACCTTTCTCCACAAAGTCTGATCACACCAGACTAACAGCCCACAGCTGCAGCCAGAAGTTTCCTTCACAATTTTAAATATTGCATAGAAATATAGCGATATAACAGAACATTTTGATGACAAATGAACCTGTCACATAATATGAAGAACAGGAACAGCATTATAACTTGTAAATGCAAAAGAATTCTCTTAAAACACATTTTCTGACACAAAAGTTGAGTCAATAAGCAGAGCCAACACTCAGGTGTCCTCACCATCGGGACTCAGTATGTGCTCCACTCTAAATAAAACCAGGACTCCGTGCTCCACTCTAAATAAAACCAGGACTCTTTAGAGAAAGCTGGTTCATTTATGAGAGGCACAGAGAAAAGTCAGGATTAGTTTGGAATGTCTTGTTGCGACCAGGACATGGATGATTTTAAGAATGTCAGTGCTTGTGCTAAGAGGACCAGAAGCAAGTTATAACAGTTTATGAATCAATAATAACAACACCAGCAACAGGAA